CATAGGAATTCTCTAATGAATGCTTTAACTACTTTGTAAGTACGGACACAACTTCTGGGGATCTTGTTAGCTTGCTTACTAGCGAAAAATCCGACAAATCAATCATCTTTACTAATCATGATTTGCCATCAAAAGACACCACTCACAATAATGCGCTATATCTAACTGTGGGGTGCAAGGGATACAATATCCCACTTACTTTAGTTGATAATGGGTCTGCTGTTAATGTGTGCCCATTGTGAACCGCAAAATATCTAGGCCTAAACCCAGAAAATTATTTCCATGCAACAACACAAAGCATTAGGGCCTATGATAATTCAAGGAGATCGGTGTATGGAACTGTTAAGCTACCAATTACCGCAAGCCCACCTTCTTTGGCCGCAGCAGCCTTTTCCTCAGCAGCTTTGGCCCTGAGTCCAGCAAGGTTGGCCCTGATCTCAGCCTCCTCATGCTTGAACCGAAGCTCGTCATTCATCCCAACGACTAGGGCATGATTCTCCACAGCCTGTAAGGCAGGGAATGGGTTAGGCGAGGCAAAAGGAGCTTAAAAATAATGCTTAAGTGTAAGAAACTTTACCAGCATCAGCAACTTCCGAGTCTCAGCGAAAGGATTTGGAACCCTCACAGTGGGATCAACCACTCCAGCAGCAGCCCGAAGAGACCAGATCTTCGCCTCTCAGATCCACAAAAGTCGAAGGCATGTCAGTTCCCTTCATAGTCTCAACACCCTTCAAGGTTTCAGCCTCAAAACCCTTAGGCTTCCTATCCAAGATCTGCTCCTCTTCTTCGGGGAGGTCCGTCAAATCCTCCAAGGCATCAGCCTCATGTTGAATCTCCTTAGTGAAGGGTCCATTCTGGTGCGGTGGAGATGCATGAGGAGTCCTATCTTTGGACTGAGCTTCTTGATCTTTTGATAACGGCTGAGGAGTCTGATCTTTGGTCCTCTCCTCGACAATTCTTTCAGTTGGCCTAAGAGGAGGGACCTGCTCTTCTTTCTTCTCCTCCACAAGCCGAGGCTTCTTTGCGGGAACAGGGGCCGCCTAAAATTGGCCCGGCCTTATGATGGCTTTCCTCTTCGGCCCATTTATCTCTTCGTCCGAAGAAAGGTCTTGGAGAACTTCAGCATCTTTTCCTTTGTCCCTCCCTTCTTCGTCAGACTGTAAAAGGAAGAACAATAAAAAAAATTAAAAAATAAAAATAAAAATTAAAAATAACAGAAACAACAACAACAAGTAATCAAAGGACAAGTCAAGGCTGGAAGCTTATCAAAGTCTTGAGAAGACACTCGTCTTTGTCATTGTCCTCTTCAACTCCTGGAGCAGCTGACGCAGCTCGCTCAGCAACAGGAGTGGAAGTTCCAGCAGCTGAAGAAGCACGAGGTGCAACTTCTTGTTCTTCGGCGTTCAAAAGGAAGAACAGGTCTCGCTTTTCCCACCAATGTTTCTGCTGCTGGTACTCGGCAGCGCTGACTATTTCAAACCTTTTAGCGTGCAGAGAGATCAATCGATCCTTCGGATCGGTGATAGGAGGCGTATTTGTGATCGGATCCCTCTCCTGAGTGATCCCGAGCACCTCGTACTTAATGTCTGAGTTCTCTTCAAACAACATTGAAAAGGCAAAACAACAATTAGTCTCGCAAGGGAAAACAAACAGTGAAAAACAAAAAAGAGAATAAATGAAGTCCTTGGCCCCAGCCGAGCTCCTTACCGCCTTAGTACTTTCGGCTGAGGCCGACGACAGCAAGCATCTTCTTGTTGAAGATATAATGGCAGCAAGGTAGCCAAGTAGTGGGAACGGTCGCGTTTCAGCCCATGGCCCCAAGCACTTTAGACCGGCCGAAATGGCTCATTTGCTTTCGGTCCAGGTGAGTGAATTCATCAGGACCGATGCTAGACATGTTAACATTAGGCTGCCTCAGATACCTCGACGTTCCGAAGTAGTTTGGGTGTTCTGGATCTTGGGGCGCCCTTACCTAGATTCATTGCCCCCTCCAGTCTTTGTTGGAGGTATCATTCGGCCAGACTGTGTGATAGCCCTTCTCATCTTCAATTTTCCACCAGCCGAGGTCCTTATGTTTGTTTGCTTGAACATTGGGAACCAGTTTGTGGATACAGCAGAAGCAATAAACGTTGGCCGTAAATTCGAAAAACTAACATACCTAAAGGTATGTCATCAACCTTCGGATACTCACCGGCGTCAACTGGCACAACGAGATGTTGTAACCATTCAGCACGTGGGTTATAAAGGAATGGAGTGGGAACTGAAGCTCGTACTGCAGCTGACAGACATAAACTCCGATATAACCTCGTGGAGGTGATGAATCCTATCATACGAAGTGGGCATTCGACACCAATACCCAACTTCTTCTATAATTCCATAGCAAATCTCAATTTGCCGGCAAAGTTGTATTCGGCGTCATTCCCAACCCACCAATCATACGGGGGGAAACTCATGATGCCCACATTCGCAGCCTCGTCCAGCCATTCCCTTTCCTCAGGAGCCAACAGCCTAGATACAGAAGCTCTGCTTCGGCCAGCGGTGCTAGCCGAACCAGAGGCCCTAGGTGGCAAGACGCTAATTGGGACGACATTAATGGCAGAGCCGCTAGGAGTGGCAGTGGAACCAGTCCTAACCCTAGGATTCTGGTCGCTGAGAGGTGGCATCATCGCCAAAGGATGGTTCTACCATAGAATCAACTGCGAAGCCTCCTCCTCTTCTTCTACACTCGGCTTAGCCTCATCTTCTCTGCCGCAGAATCGCCGGTCATTGTCAGAGGTGGTTGCGCAAAAGAGCGAAAAAGAGGGGTACTTGAAAAAGTAAGAAAAATGAAGGGATTTCGAAGAAAATTACCTTGTTCAGATGCGGAATTCACCGATCTATAAGTTCGGAGCAACGAATTTAGGTTCTTGGCTTTGGATTGCTAAATATAAGCGACAAAAGGAAAAGGTTTTAAGGGCGGTGATTAGCAAAAAGCAATTGGAAATTAGCGGAAATTGAAGTGAGGAGAGAGAGTGGGATGAGTGGTGTATATACCTGTCAACTCAAGAATTTTGGGAGTTCGCGCCATTAAAGCCCCCACTAACTCCACTTCAATGCTTCACCTTTCTGTCTGCCTCTCACGATAACCTCCCACTAAACTATCCAAATTCTCTATTAATTCCAACAGCCGTTATTGCCTCAAATAAATCCAAAAATAATTCCAAAATATTCAAATGCTAATTAAATCATTTACTTCCCTCCAATTTGCAAGTCAAAACCCAATTTGTCAAACTTCCGAACCGGGTCTGGGGGGCAAGTTGTTTAGGTCCAATTTACTCTAATTGGGCTGGCTCACAAATGATTCAATTACAAGTCCAAAGAAGGTTCAACCCTCCAAAAGCATGCCAAGTCAGTCAAAGGCCCAGTCAACATGACAAGCTCATTTGGCTCCAAGGCCCATTTAATCTATTTGAGCAAGGTATAAAAGCCTTCACTTCTCTCTCTCTCTCTCTCTCTCTCTCTCTCTATACATTCATTCACATTAAGCCTCAAGCAATTAATTCTTTTGCATAACTTTCTCTCTCTAGAAACACTGTACTATATTCGGCATCGGAGGGGCCTTACTCGGCACAACCCCCGAGGCCAGTTTTACGTGTGTTTGCTTTGCAGGAACCCTCATCCCAGTCATCACTTGGGTCGAGTCTAGTGTTCAGCCCACAGGAAAGGTCCAGACGAAGGACTCATTGTTTATACCCGAAACAATTTGGAAACTAAATTAAAACCATAACCTTTACATATGTACGTACTCAAGCAAGAGATATACTCATTAAACATAATTATGAGAAAAGAGCGCAGGTGTCATACGATTTAATAACGAAGTAACCTGTACATAATATAGTATTCTTATGTGGTATCATATTTATTATTACGAAGATTAATCAAACTTGAAACACAATTATTACTCCGTAATATAATATATAATTATGCAATATATAATTATTAATATAGAATAATGAATTAAAGAAAACTTGCCTTAAGGTCAAAGCAAAACTTAGCATAATACGAAGTATGATGAGTTGAATCAAGAATGATTGTTTAAAGTTCAACGTACAATAGTTTGGAATACATGGATCCCAAAACCATAACTATCAATTTTTAAGATTCTTAACCTTCATTTCGCCAAAAAAAAAAAAAAAAAAAACTTAACCTTCATAAAATTCTTCATTTTTAAATAGTGTTATTTATATAAATAATTTGTGTCTGTATAACAAAATTAAATATGCCTAAAAAGAAAGAGAAAATTTCAAAGCTTGCATCACTGCTATCTATCCTATGTTTGATCTTCTACGCACACCATATGAATTATACCAACCCACCCATATATGATATACAGTACATGATGATAGTTACTCCAATTAAAACATTATTAGACACTTCAATTTTGATTTCAAAAGCATGTTCGCCAAAATTAATCGTTAATATATGTGTTAGTTGTAGTAATCATTTGTTGTTCTATTAGTTGTTAGGAGTAGTATAGATCGAGGTGAGTTGTTGGCTGTTGGCTCGTCTATTTAATCCGTTCATCCAATATGGAAAAAGTTCGACTTTAACTTAATTAATCTTTCCGTTTCCAGCCTATATATTTGAAACTTAAGACTTTTCATGAATCAAAATATATCTTTAATTTGATGAATAATATACATAATTAATTATGCATATAGATCGATAAAAATATTAACATGGTTATATTTTAAATATAATTTTATTGAACCATTATATATATCTAATTCAAAATCTCACATGATAATACATAATACAAACCTACTACATAATATACTTAGTAAGAAATCATTACCAAAACATTATTAAACTCAAGGTAGTATACCTCCATTTTGTTTTCAATAATGTGTAAATGTGTTTACAATAATTCGTATTGACACTTTATACAGTGGCGGACTCAGGAATTTCCGACTGGTGAGTCACAATCGATAATCAAATATGTAAAATAAAATTTCACAATGACATGTAAGGAGACATTTACTTCCTAAACTTGAAAATAAACAACACGATTGGAGACCAAATTAACTACAACGGATGTAGCCTAAATACATATCAGTCCGCACAACATGTTTTACAGGATGATCAATAATTTTGAAGCAATGCCTCAAGGCGTAAAAGCAATCCTTTTTTGGCACTTCAATATGATTCAAGCATATGATCAGGAATAAACACGAATAACAATTGATTCACAATACAAGTATACAATATTCCCAGCATGAAATAGACTCAAGAATTACAGAAATTGCCCAAATTAAAACCAAAATTACAGAGACTCACCCATATCCAGGCAAATTAACAATATACCAACTCTTGTTGATTAGAAAATGATTGATAAGCTGAGTCTTCCCTGCATATAAATTCAACAACCTAATCAAACACAAAGTTAACAAAACAAATGAAATCACAAGTATGAATCATATGCAAATAACCCCAACAGCGAATTACCCCTATTCATAATTGGTTGGACAGTTCATATTCAACTAAATCAAGCAATATTCAACTAAATCAAGCAATATTCCCCAGAAAAATTATTTACAAAGATCATCCAAATCAGTTATTGCGACACATACATGATAAATGCAGAATGAATGATAATAAATTCAATAATTAATATCAATTAAACAGAAAATCAGAAATAATAATCAATATCAATTAAACAAAAATTATAGGGCTCAACTACTCAACTCAAATAGTCAAATATCCGGTCACAACTTCAGTTTCTAGAGGAAAAATTCCCAAATCGGCTAATTAAAACCAATCTTCAGTTTCTAATCGGCTAATCATATTAAAATAAATCATTTGGGACTTAAAAATTATAATGAAGACAATTAGACAAAACTATAACTAAACACAGTCAAAAGACTCAAAACCAATCTTCAATTTCTACTTTTTTAGACGAAATTGTTTAGTTTAAGCAAACAAAATGATTATACAGATAGCAAGTACTTTATTTGAGCACAAATTCCACATAAATTAAGCTAATTAAACTTCAAAACAATCCTTATTCACACAAAAATCAGCTAATCCTGACTACCCATTAGTAGATAACAAAACCCCTTCAACTTTCCGAGCAAAAACTGGCACAAAACACAAATTTAAACAAAAATGACATAATTAAATCAAATACAGAAAACCTACATCAAAAATCCCCAAATCGTAAATTAAATTAGGCAATTAGCAAATGAAAAACACACATGAAGCCAAACACATTCAAAATTCTAGCTACTTTGCATATCTATATGCACAAATCGAACCTCACCATCGCTGCTCTCCACCACCACCAACAGTTACAAATCCAAACCCTAGAAATCGAAAAAAAATCAAAGATTTGAACTAGTAATTATGCAAAGAAACCTTAAATTTGAAATTTAAAGGGGAAAGTTTAAAGAAGCTCATACCATGAACACCAAAAAAAATCCTAGAAATCAAACCACACAGTCGTTATCTCTCACGACCACCATGACCATTAGTGAATAAGGAGGGAGAATGAAAGGGGAACGCGAAATGTGGTTGCAGCTGCGGCGAGGAGAAGGTGAAAGGGGAACAGGCTGAAGTTAGAATTTTTTATTTTTTATTTTTATTTTTTATTTTTTTAAAAAAAAAAAAAACTTAGAATTTTTTTGGGCCCTGGTGAGTCACTTGACCCACCAGGCACAAGCCCAGGTCCGCCACTGACTTTATATACAATAATCTACTTTAATCATCTTTTAAATTTATACGCAAGGAAGAATATGATCACGTGCAATATTTTTTTTGTGCTTGTAATTCTCATCAAAATTGTGATAAGTTGTGTGCCAAATTTTTATCACTATTATAATTTCAAAGTAGTTTAAGTTATCCAAATAATTCAAAACCTAATATAGAAAACGCTAAATCATACAAGTATTTTAGAGCTAGTGTAATTAATGAATGCATTATACAAGCACCAACTTGATCACGTTTTTATTAAAAATCGAGCATGACTCACATACCACCTAACCCCCTTCCTGCACTACCTAGTACACGTATACTACTAATAATAATATACTGTAAAGATAATTTAAATGAAAGATACATTATTTGTGCTTGTAATTGTAGAGTTGTAGTCAACTTCAAAATTATTTTGAAGATATAACTATCAAATTTGTTTGTTGGATTAGACAAATAATGATACTTAATTAATCAACTAAGTTTTGACACTATTAGCATTACATGTCTAATGATGCAAAAGCGCATCTAAATCAACATCTAAAGATGAAATATGGCTTTATTTGTGTTTATTTGTAATTTAGGCAATTTCCACCATCAAATTAACAATCAACTTTGGAATTATTTTCTAGATAACTATCAACCTTGTCAATTGGATTAGACCAAATAATGAAATCCACACGCAATTTTGATAGTGATTTGAAACTAATTAAAATCATGTTTAAGGGATTTTTGCTGACTATTCTACACATGATAATAACTTTTTGGCTAAATTTTCATCCCAAGTCCTTAGTAGGCGCATTACAAGTCTAAATCACATCATTAAGATTGCCCATCAACAACAATTTTTCTTTATTTTTTGTAATTAAATACATAAATATAATATTACAAAATATTCTTCATGGATTTATAAAGTCCACTATATGGATTTTTGATGAAGTCAACAATCTTTTGATTTTTTAAATGCTTAAACTAGTTTATTTACTAATTTATTTCCTAATTCAACTAAATTGCAACCGTGTTTTTTAATTTGTCAAAATTCTATTTTTCATAATCTTTAATATTACATATGTAATTCAAGTTATGAAAATGTAGAGCCGTTGTGTTTATAGAATTAAACTTGTTATAGAAATGTAGAGTTGTAGTGTTTGTGGTAATAAATTTGTTATTTCACAACTTTTTTAATTGTGTATAAGCATTTTTAAAGTGAAAATTATAACACAAAAACTTATGTATTTCAATATTATAAATAAATGAGTGCATACTATTTATAATCCTTGCAACTAAACAAAACAATTTTCTTAAAAAATAACCAAATTTAAATTTGTCAACTAAAAGTCATGATCATTTGAATGCAAAAGGCGGGTGCTTCATGACTATAGTACTAAAAAGGTGCAAACATTTTATGTCGTTGAAATAGTGCAACTTTAGGACATTACCACTAGTTAGCTAGCAATGAAAAGATCTAATAGGACATAAAAGAATTGCCAAGTGTAGAAATCAATTTAAACGAAAACAAAATAAAAGCAATATCACCTAATTTCACCTAATCAATTTTGTTGTGCATGGTGGTGCTCTTCGTAAGGGCAATGTATAGTAGCAACTAGTAAGTCTTCTTCCCTATTTTGATCACGTAGTTGGAAGTTTCCTTCGCCTTCCCTCTAGTGTATATCTCTAGTATTGGAAACTTCCAACTTTTGAATTGATTTGAGTGAAAACATTTTTTTTTCCATCATCAATTTTGTCATTATACATGAAGCTTATGCTTTATTGCATATGTTTCTATCCGACCTACTCACCTACCTTCCGTTGTTAAGTTACACACTCTCACAAATTAACTTATTCTTACATATATGTTCATATAAAGGTGTTTGAATGTGTAAAACAAAAAGTACTAGAACTTTATTATCTTCTATAAGAATGATAAAGGTTAAGGGCATCCTTGATGGTGCGAAAAGATGTTTTCCCCCATTTATATACTCTGTATATGCATGTAAATTATAATACTTCCCCTATAGCTGAACCTTTATTTATTTTTCACACATGTCAATGCATAACTTCTTTCGAATATGTTTAGTTTAAAAACTGTAAAAATTTAATACTTTGAAACTATATTGTAAGACAAATCTATATATTAAGATCTCAAATGACTAAATTATTTCTTGATTTTAAAAAAATATATAATTTATAAATAGTGTAGAAATTAGAATTGTTCGTTGTACTAAATAAAAATTGAGTAATTGAAGAAGTATATACTTGCACATTCTTTTGTTGATGCTAGCATTCATAATTATTCGAATCAATTAGGTTCCGACTTCCAAGTACTAGCCGTTTAGTCTGTTTATTTGAACTATTTCATTCTCACCCACTATAATCCTCTTCATTTTTTATTTTTTTTTTTAAAAAAAAAAATTAAAATTATAACAACTGAGTTCCCATTTGCAATTAAGTTTTTATTATTATTATTATTATTATTATTATTATTATTATTATTATTATTATTATTATTATAAATTAAGTACAAAGTATTAGATACCAAACTAGTTAATGTCTCAGACAATATTCCACATTATATTTTGTACGTGAGATGTGTTTAAAGATTGTACAATTGACATTATTTGATCGATTTTTTTCAATAGTTAAATTAGTGCAACTATGATATATAATTGGAGTTATTGGACCCTTCTTGATGGAGATCATGCCGTCATGGTACCATTGATCTAATATAATTTTAGATGTTGAGCATGCATGTCAAATTAAAATGTAGACCACACATGACGTAGATGCATGCCCATGCGATAGATACATGCATGGTTTCATTGTCGACATTAAGCAAACTATTACAATGTCAATTAATGATTCCAAAATCTTTGATCAACTATTTGGGCTAATGTTCATGGAACATTCTTATCAAAATCCTTGTCAATGTGTTATTGTTGTTCATTCGTCACCAAACACATATACATGAAGGAAAATAATACTTCTTATAAGTAAATGAAATAAGCATATTTTTCATTTTCAAATTCATTTTAAAGGTCATTATATATATAGGAGGACTATCATTAATTCGTGCAACACTATTGAGGGCTTGTGCTATAAAATTAAAATTTCCAAGTCGAGTATACATGAATGACAACAAAAGTAAAGGTATCCCATGAATAATTTTTAATAATATTGTGTCCAAATTGTAATCTCTTCTTCTATTGAAGATAAATGAATTAACATGTATTGATATGCTTAACATACATTATTTTACAATGGAGATCAGAATTAGAGAGTAGATAGAAGACACCTAAATAAATTATCATGTCGTAATTATTGTCACATATCAACAGGAGACTAATCGATAGCCAACACGTTAATCCCAAGATTGTAAACAATAGAAATTGATATGCACAAAGAAGTAGACAGAGTAGTGTGAGTTATAAAAGCACATATCATATGCAATAATGATAATACAAAGCTATGGATAGTTAAGGATAAAATTAAAAAAGAAAAAAAAACAATCAGGAGAGCAAAATAATTGTATTTCTTAAAATAAATTGTAGCATATGTCTTTCAAAAATATAATATTGTAGCTTAATATGGATAATATTTTAATATAATTAAAGAATGCTTTAATAAAAAATACACGTGTATAAATACATAGATAAAAATATATGCGTTTATCATAGAATTAATAAAAATAAATAGTTGAATCATAAAAATGCAAGTTTCATACCATGTCACATAAACTTAAATTTCTTAGCATTATGTAAGAAGATGTTTTTTTTTTTTTTTTTTTTTTTTTTGACAAGAAGAAGATGGATCCCTTTTTTTTTTTTTTGAAGTAAAAGGCCTGCATAAAATTAATAAATATCAATTGTTGTATGAAAACAATTTTTTAAAAATAGGGCCAAAAATAAAGAGGGTTTAACAGACTTTTACAAAATGGAGTTAGATAACGGCGTTAAATTCTTAAAAAAAAAAAACAAAGAAAGAAAAAGAATAAGAATTGACTATAAATAAACAACGGCACGACAAACCACAGGTTTAAGCCTTTTTCTCTCTCTTCTTTCTCTCTCCTCCAAAATCCCACCACTCTCAGAAAAATACTCCTTTTTACCCCAAAAAAAAAAAATCAAATATTTTCACCAATTTATTGGGTTCTTTTTCATTTGAGCAAGAGAGAGAAACAGGAGAAAACAAGTTTAAACCAAAAAAAATTAAGCTTGAGGTTCGAGATCTTTCTCAGATCCGAGCTCCAAAGCGTAAGTTCAAATTTCTCTTCTCTCATTTATTATTTTCTTCATTTTTGTTTTTGTTAATAATTTTATTTTTGTTTGTTTTTGTTTGCAATGCTGCTTGATCTATCATGATTTATCTTTTAATTTTCTGGGTGTAATAAAGTTTTTGTCTTTCTCTTCTACATTACTTGGAATTTTCTAATTTTCTCTTTCTATTTTATATAAAAAAAAAATTAATACGAGTAATATTTTCAAGCTCTGATTTGCCCTTTTTTTTTTCCCATTAATTTGAAGATTAATGTTATGTAATATGAGAATTTAAGCTCAAAATTTCTCTCTCTCTCTTCTTTTTCTTTTTTTTTTTGTAATTTTAATTTTAATTTTTTATTTTTAAATATTTGTTTTTTCTGGGAATTTTTTTAGGATTTATATTCTTTTTACCATGTTTTTCTTGTACAAAATTATCTGGGTGATGTATATGTTTTAATTTTATTTAAAATTAAAGGTGGTGATTCTGGGAAAGCAGGGGAAGAGGGTACAAATATATGGAATATTCATGCATTTATCTTTTTAAAGGATTTTCATTTTCCCCCTTTTTATTGTCAGATTTTTTTTTTTATAATATTATTAAATTTTTAAGGATTGAGTTAGATTTTTCATTGGGTCCTAATAAAACCTCTCATTGTCTGCCTAAAATAATTGAGTTGGCAATTTTTGTTTGTTTTATTTGTTTGTTTTGGCATAAATAATTTGTTTGTATTTTTTTGGCATGGATAATTTAATTTCTTTTCTAATGCTTAATTTTTTTTAAAGTTTATGATGATTTTGTGTTTGATCTAATTGCTAATTAGATTGTGCTAACTTTCCTGTTTATGATGTCTAATTTTCCTGTTTATGATGTCTAATTTTCTATTAATCTTATCCTTTTATTTTTTTAAAACATTTTTTTTTACCTTTCAAAGTCAAATTAGACCAAGTAAAACCCTAATAGAATTCCGGAACGATTCTTTCATACTTTTTTTAAAAATGAATGATTACTGTTGAATGAAATTGATGGCATTCACGTCGAGAAAAAAAAAATAAAAAAATGATGGCACTTGAAGATTTCATACTTCTTTTTTAATACAGTATAAAAAATTCTGTTTGGCGAGAAAAGGGAGGTGAAGGGGTTGAGAATATGAATTTTAGGTAAACAGAAAGTAATACTTGTATGTTTTTACCATATGTTTGTTGAACAATAATTTTGCAAAATGCAAAAATATATTTATGTGGGCTAAAGTCACCACCACGACATTCATAATCCCGACCAGTGGATCATCCAATAATTGGTTGCTAAACGTTGGATTTTTACTGTTTGTTATAAACCCAAAACACCTAATTCTAATTTCATATCCATCTCATTTCCCCTTCGCCCCTTCCCATAATACATTAGAAAAATTACAACGAAAGTGTATCATTGGATATAGAAAGGAAGGCTATGAGGGTTATTGACAAGGATATTTTGGGAGCATTTGATTTTGAGAATGGTGTGTTGTGTTTAGAAATTTTAAATCTAACATGTGTGTGTTACTATGAGCAGAAGCTTAGTTGTATTGTTGATATTTCTTCTGAGATCTTTACTTGGGACATTGCTAATAGCATTCTTTAAATGTATTTGTATACCATGACTTAATTGATGAAAAAAATGGATTGATGAATTCTGAGTAACTCCGCTTATGTTAGTTACTAGTATAGGAAGATGCTCAAGATGTGCGTGGATGTGCTTTCGCATCTCTGTTTCTTTGTGATTTATCATTAAGTATATGTTCCTATACAAATAAAAATGGTCAACGTATTGTACACTTTTTCGTTAATATACTAGTGAACTAGATAAATTCAATGATAATTTGGTGGTGACGTTTCTACTAATCTGCTACCAATATTATACTCATTCTTACCGGGAGATATAACAGTAACAATTTTCTGATTGTGTAATGTGCAGTGTAATGGGAAGAGAGGTTACAGGTGTACGCATAGAGCAAAATAAGTCCTCTTTTGCCAAGGTAAAGCCAAAAGTCTCTGTTGATTCAGATCAGGAGGCAAATCCTAAAGCACCTGAAGGAAACATTGAACTAAAGGATTGTGAAGTGAAGGAATGCACCTCAGAGGTCCCACGTGCTGAAAACAGCTGTGAAAATCAAGAGGTTTTGGCCATCAAGAGCATCAATTTCGATACTGAAAAGCTTGATATCAAGTCTCCTATAGCTGAGGATCAGAAGATGAGCTCCCCCGATAAAGCCACATCTGGAACAACAGCTGCTGGAAACTTAAAGATGAACACTCCTCAGAAACCTACTAATGTTAGAGTTGACAAACAAGTGTGGGAGAGTCCTAAAGCAGCTGAAACTCCTGTTTCTCCATCGCCAAGCAATCCAAAGTCTCCTAGCTCTTCCCGAAAATCACAGGTGACTAATGGAATTCAGTGCTAAGTGGTGGTATCATCTATTTAAAAATTTCTCGTAGAGCTTTTCTCAACTCATCATTTAATCTTGTCGAAGTAGAAATTTATATAAATCTGTCCTGCTGCTCACGTGCTCTATATCAGATAATAATTTGCAAACTTGTCACCTTGATTGGTTATGTCCTTTTGCAGCAAGACTTTAGAATCGGTGAGGAGAAATTAGGGAGTCTTCTTTTCACCCTCTGAAAGCTTCTCAATAAAGAAGTCTGTTCATGTTGTTAGTGTTATGATGGTGACATAGTAGAACATTTTTATATATTTGCCCAGGTTACTTCACATCTGCATTATCAACTTTCGATACTGTTGGGGCAGCTTCATCTTGAATGTTCTAGTTCAGCCTCCAGCTAGTTGAATATAGCCTGAAAGGTTTTGAATTGAATTAAGGAATTGAAATGTTTTTTGTTACCAACTATTAGTGAACTTTTGCTGGTTTGGTTCGGGTAGGTTTCAGTTAAAAGAAAAATCTACGTTGTTATCTGCTAGCTGGGTTGGGTTTTGGTTGGTCTAGCTGAACAAGTTAATGTGCAGGCTCAAAGTGCATTTTTAAGTGACTTTTCGTTATTTATGGGCTTTCTAGATTGTAGATTGGGCTTTCCTTATGCTGGGTTTTGGGTCACGTTAGTTTTTGATAGGGTTTTGGGGCGGGTCAGTGTTACCAGATTATGATGTATATTGATTAGTCAGAGGCTCATTATGCAAGTTTCCAAATTTTGTACATTGTTCATTTTCGTTTCCAAATTTTGTGAAATTGCACTTGATCATTTTGCAACTTTAGAAACCTGCTTACAGTTGCAATGTTGATGCTTATCTTGCAGCCGACTACCCCATTTGTAGCAAGGAGGTCTTTTGCAGATGACGATGACAATTGGTCTGTGGCATCTTCGTATCCTTTCTTTTAACTAAATCAGTTATCTTTGTAGATTTATCCAGCTGTTTCAAGTCCTTTCTCGGTTGAACCTCATGAGAGGATTGGTTGTGATTGTAGTATCTTATTTGTGTCAACTTGTTCCATGTTTTTTTTTTTTTTTTTTTTTTTTTTTCCCAATTGGACCCCATCTAGAATTTTAAAGCTTATTACCGCAACATCAATGCTTCTGCATTTGTTGCAATTGCCTTTTTATTCAGTTTCTGTCATCTAGTCAAAGAGCAAGTTATTTTTGCTGAGTTTACAAAGTCAAATAAGACCCATTTGGAGTTGTTCTTGGGACTGAATGTTAAGTATATGGCTATAAGAAATTAAGAAGTTTCTATTCTTATGTAGGCTTTTACTTCAGGAGAGAGTCTCAAAAGTAGTCTTCTTGTTATAGTTTGAAATTGTTCACTTTGTTGCTAGTCCTTGACCAACCTTTAATAGAGCACGGACTACAAGATCCAGAACTACTGTCGGTGTAGCTCCTACATTCACCTGTACTGATCGTTTGGAGAAACGAAAAGAGGTACTTTTGATGATACTGAGATCTGATTTGATTAAAATTTTATGGTTTAGAAATATTTCTCAGTTATTTTGATTTCTCCTTTCTAGTACTATGCAAAACTGGAGGAGAAACGCAAAGCTTTAGAAGCAGAGAAACGAGAGTATGAAGCTAGGACTAAGGTAAACTCCCATTTACCTATATGAAGTTTAAAGAGTTGTGTTAAGCTGGCTAGATAGTAGATACGGATTATTAACCGTGTGTCAATATTTTGTTTTTTGTTTACTGTCAAATTCAGGAGGATGAAGAAGCAGCTATAAAGCAACTTAGGAAGAACATGATGTTCAGGGCTAATCCAGTTCCCAATTTCTACTATGAGAAGCCTCCACCTAAGAAAGAGCTTAAGAAGGTACATGTCAATATATATATTTTTTTTTCATCATATCTTAGAATCCAAGTCTAGGCTAGATGGTTCAGCTGCAATCTTGTTTTATTTTGTGTTCAATGGTGCAGCTGGGTCTGGGTCCTCCAATTAATTTTATTTTGAATTTTTTTTTTGTTGTGTTTCATTGTTGTCACTAAATCGTCTGAAGTCTGTATTTCTCATGCTTCATTGGCTGGGCCATACTGTGAAGTAGGAAATTGGCATTTAGGGTGTTTATGCCTCGGCTTCAATTTTTTGTGTCCACTACTAGCTTTAATTCTTTCGCTTCACTTATAATCTCAACCTTTTGTTGCATTGAGAAATGCAATTCTTCATTTATATTGATCATGGCATCAAGAATTGTCTTGACTTTGACCGTCCAAATTAGAATCACAAGTTTTGGCCTGTATTTTTCTACAATGTCGATTTCGTGGAATATTCTGGTTTAATTATGGCCTTAGCACCCTAGTATATTCTACATTCCTAGCACCAAAGATACAAAAAAGAAAATCAACTGTATTCTGAGAAGTACAAGTAGTGAAAGGTTTTCGATTTTGAAATGCAATCACATGTGAGATTGTATTTAGGAACTAAGCTAAATTCTGTATTACTGTTGATCTGTTGATTCAGCCCTTTGTTTCATTGATCTTTTATTGGTGTGTTTAGATACTAATCAAAGTTATTTGTCCTTGGAATTTTTTTCTCTTTGATGTTAGAGAAACCTCTCCAACTTCTCTTTTCATCTTTAGGGTTATAGATCTGATCTTTAGGCAGTAAATAAATTGTTGTTAGTGGAACATATGGCAGGATCTCCTTTCTATTTTTCTTTCTCCCCGCTGAAAAACAGTAAACCAAGATGCATGCCTTTCTATAACACAGTTGATTTTCAGAGTTAATGTACAAAAGTTTTTGAGGGTACAACTAACTAACTTGCATCTTCAATTGGTATCCTAGCTTCCTACAACTCGTGCTGTGTCACCTAAATTTGGACGCCGAAAGAGCTGCAGTGATGCAATCAGCTCCCCATCTGAGGATAAGAATAATGTACGAGCATCAAGGCGCAGCCTAGGAAACCTGAGAGAAAGCTCTTCCCCAAATAACTCTACTCCTAAGAAGAAGGATCCGCTAGTTAAGAGTCGGTTGAAGCAAGTGAAGGAGACCACCAAAAACACTCCTGCTAAAATTACAGAGAAGAACAGCCCGGATATTGCTGTTCATTCTTAATGATCAGTAGGCTTACTTGTGGTATCGTGTGGGTCGAGATTTTGGAATTTCTTGGCTTTTTAGCGTTTTTATTCCTTTTTTTTGCTCTTTTCCTGAAGAATAGGTACCGGAAAGGGAAAGATGGAAAAGAAAACACCTTCACCAGGGAAAAGAAATTCCTTTCCTTTTCTCTCAACCTTGATTATTTTTCAACTGACTTGTTTCCCGTGTTTCTTTTTTCTTGTGTGACATGTGTTGTATATCTCTGTAACTTATATTAGTACATAATGTATACCATTAAAAAGTCATTAAGTCCTTGTATTTTTCACTTGTTTGATTGTGGGATTAATGGGGATGTGATCTAACTATCTGTTAACACAGAATTATTGTTTTGGTATGCCTTTTTTGCCTTGTACTTTCATGTTCTGCATTAATATCCCGTCCTTGATTTTACGTATAATACTCTATGCAATCATTAATTCTGTTGGCATTGTCATCAGATTTTCTGACTGAAGTTGTGTAATTTTACTTTATGATGCTTATGTAAGCTCAATATTCATTCCGTATATTCGAAGTTACATGTGATTTTACCTCTTTTGGTTCAGAATAAGAAGCCTTCTCAGTCTCACAAGGGAAAATCTTAAACTGAAAGGCATTTTCATTAATATCATGGACAGCTTCTGCTACAAAAATTAGGTTACCGTGGCCGAATCAGCTAATGACATTCCATTGTAACTTGTTTTAAACTTCTAACCTCTTCTCAAATCTATAAATGTTGTACTATTTTCGTAAAATCTAACTAAATTTTTTTCTAGAATTACAATTCTTTGTTTCATTTCATTTTATTTATTTTTTTATTTTTTTTACGAAGAAAGTATATATATACACTCTAAAATCAGTGATTACTAGATTTAAACCCGTGCGATGTACGGGTTTTATTCATAGTTAAACTTAACATTTAATATTTAATCGAAATAACAAAATATAAATACATAATTTTTTTTTTAATCTTAATTAAGGTTCACACTCTTCATCGCATTCAAGAATTTCATGGTGTTCAAATTCTAAAATATGCTTCTATGCCTGCAAAACTTTTACGTTTATTTGGGTGGTTGTAAAGTTTATTATATATGATAAATTTTATTAACGTAGAACTTAATCTTTTAGCCGAATAAATGATAAATGATGAACATTTTTTATTCGCTGGAAAAAGAGAAAGAATATATTTTTAGTTTCAATGATTTTTTCTTATTTTTTGTATCTAATTCAAAACTGATATTTTTTTTTATAATTGAACGTGATTTCATATTTTTTTTATTAATATTTTTTTAAAAGAATATTTTATTATAATCGCTTCTCATATTTCATTATTTTATTATCTAATCCAATTTTTTTTTTTAAAAAAAAATCAATAGAACGTGAATTTCATTTTTTATTTTTTTTAAAGCTGAATTTCATTTTTTATGTTATAGTATTTTTGTATATATACGAAATAAAATAAATTATTTCTTTTCTCTTAGATAAATTTTCAATTTTAAAAGATAATATTTTATTTTTATAATAAATTTAAACCTTTAATCCTACGTGGCGCTTTAAAATAATTATCCTACGTGGCATAATCCTATACGTAACACTCTAAAAATACTAAACCTACATGGCGCTCTAATACTTTTTAAAAAATTAAAATCCTACGTGGCTCTCTAAAATCTTGGGAAAAAACTCCCCTTTATATATGATTAGGGGATTTTTCCCTACCAATCATTATCTGACAAGTGTACCAATCAGGGCCTGCCATGTGTCCGCCACATGGGCTAATAGCAGTCTGCCACGTGTCAGGCGTTGATCTGTCCACCATGGACCAGTTGTGTCACGCCACGTGACCTCCATATGCCAAGCAGGCCACCTAAGCCCAAATTCCGAGGGAAGCCCAGTCAGCCCTAGGTTAACCAAAACCTAGGATTTGACACTTTCCCCAAGGTTATAAATACTCTAATTAATCCTCATTAAAGGAGGATGAGACAATTAATTACTCTCACCTAGGGAACCTAAACTCACTGATCACTCCTCCCCTAGAGAAACCAGATCTCCCAACCTTTACCTTTTCCGCATTTATTACTCCTCAAACAAGTACTAACTTGATCGTCGGAGGCGGAGCTCCCACCACCCGGAGTCTCCGTTGTTTTGTAGGTACAGGCGCACGGATCCAGTCCCGGAATTGTAACTCTCCCGCAAGACATCAGAAAACCCCGAAACATTTTGGCGCCGTCTGTGGGGAGAGTACTTTCGAGATGGAGTCACAGCCTGTACCGAATCCAGAAGAGAGGCGTCCAATGGACGACCCTCAAGTCTACTACTCAGACCAAGATACTGAAAATGAGGTCGAGCTTGAAGCACACACGGCCTCAGATGGGACCCTAAGGGCCCGACGCACCCGTCACACCGAAAGGAAAGAACGTGTAGATTACCAAGATGGACCCAACAATCCAGCCGACCCACCGCCTGAGAAACAACAGGCGGCTGAAGGATCCGCTCCCATTACAGGGAACGAACTCATGACTTTCATGAGGGGGTTCAAGGGAGAGATCCAAGATTTGATTAATAAGAAGACAACTGCTCCCTCCAAAGAGCAGTCGGCTAGAAAACCTTCTCAGTCTGGAAGTGGGAGCCGCCTGTGATTGACTTAACAAAGTATCGCTTTCCCTCACCAGGGAAGAGAAAGCCCATTCGTCATGTACAAGCGGATGGGTCAAAGAAAACTTATTCAGATGCTCGACTGTTGCTAGAGCAGAAGAAGAATGACCGACTGTCAAAGTCGGCCCCTACTTCAGATTTTCAAGATAGTTTGCATAATACTTCCATGAGGTATACTCAATCAAATTATGAGAGTCAGACAGGCGGTACCTCCCGTCGGTCCGGAACTCATAACAATCAGTCGGTACCGAATGTACCATACGTACCGCAACAACAATACTTCTTGCAGCCTCCTTTGTTTGGAGGGAAGGCGGCCAGAAATGTCCAACCATTGGACTGGCAACTACGGTTGCTCAGACTTGGAGAACAGCCGTCCGCCTTCTCCAAAAAAATTATTGAGGCCGCCCAGCCGGCCAAGGTGAAGAATGTCTTAGTAGGCGCCTATGATGGCACCACTAATCCATAAGATCATTTAATGGCGTTCACCAACCTAATGTACCTCCAAGGGTTGGATGATCCCACTTGGTGCAAGTTCTTCCCAGCCACTCTCAAGGGAATTGCACAACAATAGTTCGACAACCTGCCGACTGGTTGTGTGAATAACTTCAAAACACTTGCCTATTTGTTCACCTCCAATTTTGCTATGAACATCCCTGCTAAGAAGACGACCCTTGACTTAGGGACCATTCAGCAGGGTGAGAAGGAGGGACTCCGTTCCTACATCAGGCGGTTTAACTTGATGAGGATTCAAATACAAGGGTTGCCGAATGAGGTAGCCTACACTGACTTTTTCAGAGGTCTCAAGGATGGGTCGACCTTCAAGTTCGATTTGGTCCGAAAGAGGGTTGCGACTCTCCAGGAAGCATTGATTGAAGCTGAAGCCTATATACAGGCGACTGATCTCTGTAACACTGGAAAACAGTCGGATGAAAGGAGATCTGCGAAAAAAAAAGAAAGCCGACAAAAGCAGTCGACAAATAAAGATGAGAAAAAGAGGAAAGAAGTCTGGGCGGCCGACACATCTGGACAGCCGGCCTAGAAAAAGAAGAAAGAATTCAAACCATACTCTCCTAAGTATGCGTTCAACAAGGATAGCCAAGCTATCCTCAAAGTAACCAAGAGCCGAATTCAATCGAGAAGCCGGCCCCCATGAAGGGTTCTGTAAGCAATCGGAACCAGGATAAATTCTGTCATTTTCATGAAGATGTTGGTCATGAAACCAATGAATGTATTAGCCTCATGCGCTACCTGGACCGCCTGACTGAAAAAGGCGACCTTGACTCCTATGTCAAGAAGTCCAAGGGGAATGCTCTCCCAAAGAACAAGCAGTCGGCCAAGAGGAATCACCGGCCGGCCGACAGTTCTGATACTGATGACGCAGTTGTCTACACTATAGCCGGCGGCTTCTCAGGAGGCGGCCCCACTTTAAGGGGCAACAAAGACAATATCAGGCGGCTAGATGTTAATTCCGTTCACCAAAGACGGACCGCCAAGAGTTCATTGCCAGAAATTGTCATCATAGAAGAGGATCTGGGAGGTGTTAAGGGGTCGCATGATGACCCCATTGTCATTGAATGTAAGGTGGCCAACCAAAGAGTTGGCCGGATCCTCATAGATACTGGTAGTTCTTCTGATCTCATCAGCAACAAGTGCTTGGCAAAGCTCAAGTACAAAACTGATTGCATAGACCCGGTTTTAGTGGGGTTTGGAGGAAGTGTCGTACACCCAGTGGGACGAGTGGATCTGCCCATCCTCCTGGGTGAGAAAGGGGAGGGTCGTCGCATGGTGGTTCGGTTCTTGGTAGTTGAAGAACTGTCGGCCTACAATATGATATTGGGACGACCCACCCTGAACAACTCTAAAGCTGTCATTATACCCTCTCTTATGCTGCTAAAATTTGAGAGGGATGATGGAACAGTCGGCTCCCTAAGGGGAGATCAAAAGATGGCACGAGAGTGTTACCTCTCGGATATCAAACCCAATGTGGCGGCTGCTGGCCCAAGTGGTGAAAGAACTGACCTTGAACTCATCAAGGAGGATGCGCCTGCTCAAGTGGCAGGCGGCAAGAAAAGAAAGGCTACCCAATTGGGGGCCGAGAGAAAAGAAAAAAGATAGCAATCACTGGCAGAGGAGGGTCGGACGAATTCCGCCCTCAGCCGGCTGGCGAACACACGAATGTTGTCTTGGACGACTCACGTCCTGACCGAACAGTCAAGGTTGGGACGACTGGTCTTGAAGTTTTAGGTGAAGATTTTCACCAACTGTTGAAAGAATTCAAAGATATTTTGCATTCGAAGTTCATGAAATGCCAGGCATCAGCCCAGACCTGGCTGTACATAAATTGGCCGTGGATCCGAAAAAGAAGCCGGTCAGGCAAAAGAAGCGGAATCATAGTGAAGAAAGAAGTCAGGCGGATGCTGCCGAGGTTAAAAAGCTGCTTGATGCAGGGTTCATTCGGCAATTTTATTTGCCGGAATGGGTTGCAAATGTGGTACTAGTAAAGAAGTCGAATGGTACCTGACGAATGTGTGTGGACTATGCAGATTTGAACAAGGCGTGCCCTAAAGATAGCTATCCTTTGCCTAAAATTGACAGTCTGGTCGACTCAACAGCCGGCCATGCTTTAATGAGCTTCATGGACGCCTACTCGGGCTTCCATCAGATTCCTTTGTGGAAGAAAGATCAGGAGAAGACGACCTTCGTCACTGATCAAGGGCTGTATTGTTACACGGTCATGCCGTTT